AAAGAGTTTTCTCAATTCTCAGGCTCAGTGATGGAGAAGTATTTCAAAAGATTAGTAGTTTCTTTTATATGTTTCTTGATTTTTTTGTGAAGTTTTCGTACATTAATTTATGTTCATTTGTTTCATTTCTCCATCACAAAGTACCAACTTTTCTCATTTTAACAGATAATGTTTAAAAAAAAAATTTCGCCCCGTGAGCCCCCCTTCAACTCCGGGACCCCCCTAGTTTGAAGGGCTGGCTCCGCCCCTGTTGGAGCCCCAAAATCCTACAGAGCCGTATCTAGTTTAATATCTTAGGAGCATCTATGCTCCTGGTGACGAAGAATATTATCATGTCATTGATTTTCCACCACACAAAATGTATACAGAAAAAAAAAACTTCTAAGTACAAATATACTTGATATCTTACTTTCGCAGACTGATACACTGTCCCTCCCCAGAAGTTGGTGCTGCTGTGTCAGTGTTACTTGGCTTTGCACCCCCTTCTACACTTTCTACTGCCAGTTCTTCCAAGGTAAGACGAATGACAAATGATGCTTAATGATTTTCATCTGTTTTACCTGTCTAACACTAAGTGCTTGTTCTGCAGTTGAATGGGGTGCTTATGCCTAATCCATTTGATAGGCCCGTTCTGTTTTCATGCTTCAAGTTACAGGAGCTATTGGTATGACACTGAAATCTAAAGTACCTTAAAGCTGCAAGTGCAATTCATTATTTTTCCTACGGGTGGTAAAATGTTCACTTATTGATTTTACATATGTAGATTCTCAGCTGGTGGTTGACTCGGACAACTCTATTTTTACTAGTGCCCAAACGGCCAAGGTCATGGGTAGTGAACACAGAGTGAATGTCCAACGTTCAGGTAATTTACCTTTGTTCCTGGTACCAAATCATGACCATGTAGATCGAATTCCCCGATGGCTATATTATATTCATTTGTGCAGATGAAGATGAAGATGAAGTATCTGTGGTCTCTTTGAGCGATCTATTGTATGCTGAACTCTCAGATAAAGAACGCAGTGATTTTGTTAGTCATGGCTCTCTTCCCTCCCTCCTCTCTCCATCCCTCCCATTTTGAAGATTTTCTGGCTTATTTAGGTGTTATTCGGTTTACATATCAGGCATCTTGGTTGGGTGGATCATATG